CCAGGATCTGATCTTTGCTCCAGGGACTGTCTATAATTTTTATTCAGCATTTATTCCTGAGGAGTCAATAGGCACATAGATGGCAAACGTACAGGCAGTGCAGCTGTCCTGTGGTCCATGAGCCATGAAGATCCACCCTGCACAGGTCAGGGAACATCCCAAAAACATTAATGGAGACATCTCTTTTAGATGAATCTGTTCCATTGTGTTACACCACTTGATTAAAACATAGATCTGTTGGGAAAGAAATTGAACTTGGCCCTCCTACTTTCTAGGCCAGTGACCTGTTCAGAGAGATCACCATCCCATGATTTTAAAAGGCAGTAGTTACCAAGAAATTTTTGAGGAGGTCTGATCTTAGCACTGTGTGCCAGACATGTTCTGAGATATCTGCAGATTCTTCTCCCTGAAATGCAAGGAAGGGTTCTAAGTCCCGGTTTTACTGATGCAGGAAATTAGAGCTGAGTTGCTCAGACCAGGCAAAGCACAAAATAGGACAGTAGGTCTTTGAAGTCAAAGAAGGAAATATCTCATGAGTTTAAGACCTCAATGATTCTACGTCTGTTAAGCAGCTAAACAGAGCTATTTTGGTCAACGATTTCAGACTCCAGCACATCAAACCTACCTAAGTATCGAATGTCTTTATCTTTTTGGAATGAAGGATGTCTCTGCTGTTATACTGCTGTGAAGAAAAATCAAGTGGTTTGGTGCAGCAGAAGGAAGAAAAAGAGGCTACACTTCTCCCTCTCAGCTCATACCAATTTGACTGGAAGCTAAAACCACGCTCTGGTGTAACAGAATAGCTACAGTGACCAACATGCAAGTATGATCAGAAAGCAAAACCAACTCAGAAAGTGGATACTTTCCATTCTAGACAAGAGGATTATGTTAAAATCAGGGAAGGCAAGCGGAGTAGCAGAGCTCTGACCTATATATGTTCTGAGCAAATAAACTGAACACAGGAAACTATCCCAACATGACACGCATCTCTATACCAAGGAGCAAGGAAAAGAGCTGACCTACTGAATAGAAGCAAGGCCCCTTTGATGTTGGCCAGTTCTCTACAACCCTAGCTAAGGAGTCTCTGAAGTAATGGAGGGCATGTCTTGTCAGACTCACAGAGATCATAGAATCATAGAACCATAGAATGGTTTGGGTTGGAAGGGACCTCAAAGATCATCTAGTTCCAACCCCCCTGCCATGAGCGGTGACACCTTCCACTAGATCAGGTTGCTCAAAGCCTCATCCAACCTGGCCTTGAACACTTCCAGGGACGGGGCATCCACATCATCTCTGGGCAACTTGTTCCAGTGCCTCACCACCCTGAGAATGAAGAATTTCTTCCTTATATCTAATCAAAATCCACCCTCTTTCAGTTTAAAGCCATTGCCCCTTGTCCTATGACTATATACCCTTGTAAAAAGTCCCTCTCCAGCCTTCTTGTAGGCCCTCTTCAGGTACTGGAAGACTGTTTCTTTAAAGAGGAAGAGGATGAGAGAACAACGTTTTGGATGTTTGTCACCTTGTGTCAAGCAGTGCTAGGGAGGGGATGCTCAGACTGAGAGGTCTGTAAGAACCTCCGCAGGATACCACAGAATATATTAATACAGCAAAGCTGTTCTTGTGACATTCCTTGTTCTTGTAAATAGCAGTAGCTTTGAAGCCATCGACACATTTAAATGCATCAATGTGTTACATGCATTATTTCATTCCTTTCCTCTTATTGCTTGATTCTCCCCCCTGTAGAGCTATGCCCCAGCTTTGTAAAACAACGTATCCATTACACACTGAAAAAATGGGCCTGATGAATCACAAACCCCCACATAATTTAGTACATCATCTCTCAATACAGCTTTTCAGTCTAATTTAATGCATTATTGAAGATAACGCGTTCATTAAAACAGCTGCCAGCAAACTCTTCATTTAGATTGTTTCATGGAAGCAGTAGTCAAAGAGAAATAGACCACCACATGTTAATTATATGCAAAAAGGACAAAAAACAATTAAGTTTTGATACATTGGTATTGAGATGTTAATATGATTTTTTTTAATGAGTACTGCCGTACCGGCTTTTATATGGTAAATATGAAGCATCACAAAACTGGTGTTTCTTTTCAGTAAACTTACAACATATAATTAAAAATAACAAAAAAAAAACACATGGCAAAATTACCAGGGCAGTTCAGCAAGGATGAATTAATGAGCACAGAATTATTATTTGTTGTTTCTTATTGCTACTTCTTTGTCAGTGAGCATTTAAGTAGCAGATATTTCCATCCAGAGTTTCCTCCTGGTCTCTAGTGGAGTGAACTAAAATCTCTCATCCCCTCAAACACTAGGAAGTCCTGGATTCTAAAGTGCTGGCTGAAATTAACACCTAACATCTTTCATTGTAACTGAGCCTTGGCAGTAACTGTTGGCCTCTGAACGGGACCAAATTTGTGACCCCAACATTAAAATTTCAACACTACTTTTCTCTACCTGTTGTGCAAGTCTCGCTGTTTCCTGGTGAAGCACAGGGTAATAACAAGTGTAATTTAACTAGAATATGTCATCAGCAAGAGACACACACCATAAAAAAATATCTATAATAACAGGTTTATTGAAGCTACTGCCATTAAGTTATAAGAAATTTTCATAAAATTAACAAAACAAAGTATCTACTGTTTCATGGCTCCTTTGCATATCAGTCTGAACATCCTTTAAGCCAGGCAAGACAGATTACATCATTATTCAGCTGCAGGCCTAATGGTTTAAATTACACAGACATCCATACCTCCTGTCTCCACTACTAAACGTGCAGACGAGGAGAGAAAGTTTGGCTGGGATAGCAGTTCAACAAGTCTAGTATTCATCTATGTCTTTGGCACCTTTCACCCTCCTAAGCTCCTGCTCAGATCTAGCAGCCTCCAAGAAAGCCTCCAAGAACACTAACTCTGTCATGGTCGTGTCCAAGAAATCCTTTTAAGCTGAGATGCAAGGGAGAAGAATTAGTTCTGGATAACCACAATCTAAAACATATCATGGCAAAGACTCGTAATCAACACCTTTGTTTGTCCAGTAAACTACTGAACTATTTATTATTTTAGGCAAATAAGGCAGGTAGCTATTGAGTGTTGTGGAAACATAGTATAACAAAACATGAACTCTTCTTTCATTTTCTATGCTTTAATACACATGTGCTGTCCAAAAGGAAAAACAAAAATGCTTTCACTGTAGTCTTGAAGGAAGGAGTTTATCTGGCCTAATGTAGATGTCTAGAAATCTGAACTATTCACTTCAGATTCCTTTGCAAACCATGGAAAGTGAGATGTACATTCAGAGCATGGTTAACGTCATGGTAAAATAGATGTTTGGAGTCTGACCAGTTGAATAACTTCCTAAAAATGTCTACTTCTCCATATGACTATAAAGACAGAACAGATCAAGTAACTTAGAAGTAGATGTCCGCACTGTAGGTGTTTAAATTTAGGCAAGATGAATCCATCCAGGGTGTTGAGATAGTCAGCCTAATAAAGTAGGAAAGATAAATACAACAATATAATGTCATGCAAAGTACGTATTTCATGATTTCATGGCAACTATTAAGTGTGCACTTCTTAAAAAAAATTAGTAGTACAATAGTTATGAGAGTTACAAACATGGAGTGGGATACTTTTAATTAAAACTCTCTAAAAATTTTTGTCTAGTTTTACATACAGTTTAGCAGTTTCACAGATCTGACAAATATACTGAACGATATCTTGGTGTGCTTCCTGGAATGTATGTACGAAAAAGCATCTGAATTCTCATGAAATTGATTCCTTTGGGAACCATGCAGTAGGACTGCATTTAAAGTATTTGTTACTAGCAATAAAAAATTAATCATTTTCCATAGTGGTTTGAACTAACAGGCCAATACACTTAACTAAACACTAGTGGGACTTCTTTATGATGCCTTCAGAATGTCAAAATTAGTAGATCCATTTTTCTGCAAGAGAGAAAAGATTGATCAGAAATGCCAAGCAAATCAATATTCTTTAGATGTCACATAAGGAAATTTTAAAGCAATTTATTTTTTTAGAAAATCTGCTGAAGTCTGACTGTCCCATCTTTTCATTTGCTGAAATAGGATATGTCAATTTATAATGCTTAATATACAGAACCTTAGTATGTCTTTTTATAGTTTTATAATTGTCACAATGCCTTATTAATTTTATAATCTGATTAATTGTAAAATTCACTCTTCCCATCAAATTTTGCAATAGCATAATAACACATAATAATAAGCATTAAAAAAAAGGATTAATATAATTTCAGTTAACATGGTTGTATCTCAGAAGTACATGGCTGAGCACCAGCTTATCAGAACATTTCGACTACGTTTCCATTTGTCTTTATTTGGTAGTGAGGTGCTGATTTATAGTAGTGTGAGTTAATAATTGCTGTGAACAGAGAAGACTTAAAATCTAGCGACTTCTAGAAAAATTGATTAAAAAAAACTTCATTCTTCACTGCCTTGCCTATTTGTTTACTCACTATGCTTCTGACAAGGGTAAGAATGGTACTCATGGTATAATATTTTCATTATGATTTAATAGATTTTGTATCTTCTCTTCATTGGTGACAACGACTACATTAGGCGAAGATATCTCTGAACCCTGGCTTATTTACTTCAATAGAACAAACTGATTCTGAGATGGTCTTGCAATTTATTCTTGTGACTTTCAGGGCAAGATGCCATTGCCTCACTATAGGTGTCTCCATTGACTGCACAGGTAAGACTCTACAATGAGACCTTAAATGACTTCCCTCACAGGTACAGAATAATTATTGTGTCTGGGGCCTGGGGCTGGATATCATCCTAAGCAACCCAGTCTTACTGAACGAAATATTTATAAAGGTTTAAGCACACACAAATGAGCAAAAGCAATAACAGTGTTGTAATACCTTGAAGTTATTTGAATGAAGTTCTCTACATTGTTTTTCTTATGTTCAATATAATACATCTTGCATCTTACCTTTAACTTTGGAATAGCAAGGCTCACAATGCACAGTTTGTCTGTAAATCCAAATGCTGTCTCCTGCTTTCAGATCTTCCAGTGGTCTTTTGCATACTTCACACTTAAACACACACGTAAAAGTAACAAGAAAAAATAAAACAAAACCCTTCTCTAATATTCATTCCCAGTATGTTGTCCTTTAGGGAGTAAGCAATCCCAGACCAGAACAGAGGTTATGAGTACTGCAATATCATCAAATATGAACTCTGAAAGTGTAGTTTTCATGAACATTAAATTAGACATCTGAATATCTCACCTTTAGACATCTAAAAATCAGATATCTAAGTCTATACTGTTTGCCTAAGTTCTCTTCATACTCACTGACCCCTTCCTTCCCCTGACATTTCCAAAGTATAATTTCTCTGTCTCAGCTTAGAAATTTATTCTAAAATAAGATGAATCGCACTTTTGAGATTCTTTTGTTTCTTCATTGAATAGAAGAATCATGATCAGAATCATCCAACTCAGAGTAGATCTCAAAGGATCTAAACCTGCTTATTTAAAAATGTTTTTATAATACTTTATCTTAACCATTAAATATGTCTCCCATTATTGCGTAATCTAGACACTACTTTTACAAATTTCTCAAAAAGGTAACTTTTGAGACAGAGAAGTATCTCCCATGTTTCACATAGGAAAATACATAGAGACACACGGAGGCTGACTTCCCAAGATCACAAGGAAAGCCTACAGTGAGCAAAGCAGTTTGATCTATAAACCAGAATCTTGACACCCAGATCATCCCTTTTTTTGCAACCTAATAAAAGAATGGCAAATTCTGATATCTTTGGATATTTTATCCTCTCATAAATTAAAATCAGCATTACTTTTATGTGCAATTAAGTAACCAAATTGCCAGCCATCCCAGAGGGCTGTAAGCATTTCCATAATTTTCAGAATGGCTGTCTATTTAGATAAATTTGGATTGAAAGTCTTTATTAAAATTAGAAACTAACAGTCTTACTCAGAACATCCCTTTGCAGCTAAATGAGTAAAGAAATTTTGTGGTGTCAATGCCATGGACTTGAAGGCACTGTGAATTATTAGATCCAAGGTCCAGACAATATACAATTGCCTTATGTTACACATGCTCATTAGAGCTAGTATGAATTGAAAATGAGCCCTCAGTATTGATTAGTATAATGTGTTAGAGTCCTAGAGAACTTTTTTTTCCCCGTTTTACAGAACTATGTTTTTTCTATATCTTTTCTACATAAGCTGCTAGTATTAAGGTACTATTAAAACAGTCTGCTCTCTTCACTTGTTTTATGTTGCCTTGTATAAATCAGCAAAAGGATGGACATATTTTCCAAGCTTTGATCACCAAGATTAGTTAGCATTTTATACAGAGAAAAAACCCTACAGTTTCGATTGTTTACTCACAGAACTTTCCTTTACAAGGAAACAAAGACCATATACTGCTGTCAGCTACATGCAAATCTCTAATGGATACAGGGTATTTGCAAGGAGCTAAATGAATATTAATGATGAGAAATTGCACTACTTAGCTAAATACATAACTACAAGCATGAACCACAGACTTACATTAATTCTTTAATTTTTTGCCAATGCTTTCATAAATGTGTGGTTACATAAAACTTAAGCTGAATTTTGCTGACTAGACTGGTCCCCACTTGGGAATAGGTAGCAAAACCAATATAATTTAAAAAATAAGCTTAAATATTTAACAGCTAATTCAGCCGATACCAACATATTAACACTCCTAACTGCATAAAAAACCATTCCTCTTTATGTGGGTTGATTCATCTAAAAAAGAATGGAAGCAAACCAGAGTTTGTATTTACTTGCAATAACAGATTTGAGGAAGTATTACATAGTAATTTCCATGGACAAAATTGCATTTCTAGTGCTCACAGAGCTCAGAAAGTCCATATGAGACAAAAACCCTATGTAACTTCATACATGTTAAGTACCATCTTGCCGCTGTATTCTGGTTTGGGTTACTTTTCATGCAATAACTAGGTAAAAGAACTGCTGTCAGAAGCATAAGCAAAAGATATGCAAGACTGGGCAGAAAAACGAGCTATGCTAATGCGGTTATTTTGCCGAGTATTGTTTGTTAGAACAACAAACTCTGTGTGGAGATGCAAGCAGAATTAAGACAAATGAGGCAGAAAGAAAACAGATCAGGGGGCTGAGCACTGGTGGGCATACTCTGAGAAAAGTTTAAGAGCAAATTTTGGGCCGAGACTTAGGCTTTGGAATGACAGGCAAAAAAAAAAAAAATGTATTCTGTGCTTTCATTCTTACTGGAAACAAGAAAAAATTTTTTACATAATTTTTAATAAATAAGACTGAGGCAAAGACATATCCAATTTCAACACTGTTTTATCCTACATTAGAAACTATCCATAAGACCCGAATTTTAACCAAATCTTTGACACCAGTGGGTAAAATGATTTCACCTCTATGGCTTAAATACCTCTTACTAATACCTTTGAGTGTGGCTTTTTCAAAAATAGTTTTAGATGTCACCTAATCAAGAACATCTACAAAACTTCATAAAAAAAGAAATATAATAAAATTTTACAATATGAAGAAGGCGTAAGTAAGATATAATTCACTATATCAGACTGGAAGCCTGTATAACTGAAGGCTTATAAATGAGCAGGACATTCAGGATACGTTCCACTGCATCCTTTATCCTCCTTGTGATTGCGAGAGAGCAGGAGAGGCAGGGGGGGGGGGGGGGGGGGAAGAGAGATGGAAAGAAAGAGGAAGAGATTGTGTAGGGCTGAGAGAGAGGGACTAGAATTTCCTATTTGAATTTTCTCCTCCAGTGAGCAAGCCTTCCTCTTCTCCCAGGTGCGGAAGACCTAAGGCCTAAATAGTCTCTTATTGTATGTTTAATATAATGCAGGTATTACATTTAGGTTATATTTCTTAGTAGCAGGTGAAATTTTCTTACCTTGAAGCAAGTTGAATGACAGCAAATTTGCAAGGCATCTAAGATCATTTTGGCATCTATGCCCAAGGGCTTTCTGCAGTATGTACATATATCTTTTCCAATTATACTCCTGTGTATATAATATAACATCAGCTGTCAGAAAAAGAGCTACCACTGAAATCGCAAGGGGAAAATTGATAAACTTAGTGTGCTACGCGGGAAAGGCATTTGTATACTGTACAATGGCCCTGTATGGAAAAGTGTCGTGTATATTCCCTGCATTCCAGTTGACAGGTGTAATATACGTGCTGCTGTGATGGGCAAATTGCTGAGCATAATTGTCAAGTAGCAAAAATACCTCGATAGAAAGAATGGTCGTCTTTGGTGAACTTAAGGATTTCAAATAGCAATGAGACTGTATTAAGCTGCTGAATGTGTGGGAGCGTGTGTACTAAACGGGGAGGAAGTGGAAGGTAATGATTTTAGTGTTTTAATCACAAAAGTAAATTGATAGTTGAATTTAAACTGCCGTCACTTGATCAGTTTGATATAGAATTCTTCTCTATGTTGTGGAAATGCCCGAAAACATTTTTGATTTTCTGCACTGCAGACAGAAATCCTACTTTTATGGCAGTTACAGTCAACACATGTATAGAACAGCCTACCTGGTATTCATAACAATAATATTTTTTAAAATTTTCTCAGCTCTTTTTGCATTCTTATGTGACATCAATCTGTACTTTCTCTAGACACAACTGTTGGTGGTTTTGCACTACAAAATCAACTGATCTTGCTCCTTTCCACTCAATGATAAACCATTGCACCATTGTACCATTGTACTCAATGATAAACCATTCCCAGAGTTCCTTATACTTACATTGGAAAGAATACAAATTTTTCTGATTCAGTATTTCCAAGTAATGGGACTGTCCAAATTATCTGAACTGAAAATAGTGGGCACATTTAATTTATTTTTCCCATGATGTAAGATATTTCTGATTGAGCAAATATCCTTCTTATATTAGGGAATATCTTAATCGGTGTGAAAATTTTAAGTTTTTAAGAGCACGGTCGTGTGAACCTATTCCTCCACACCTGTACACAAAGTTGGTCATTACAGACACCATTCTCACAAAGGAAGGAAATTTTGCAGAGTAATGCAGCTGCCTGAGGTAGAAACCTACAGAATCACAAAGCCAACTCTTTCACTTAAGGCATTGGCTATTGTTTCTATAGATACTTTAAAATGTCAGCTGTGACAAGCCTAACATAACATTAGGCTGCTGAACTGTGGTAATGATTTGATGGCAAGATCCCACTGAAAGGCAGCTCTGCATGAAAAGCTGCCTGACGAGCCTAATGGTGACTTCCACTGCTCTCTTTTGTCTGAATAGTTGAACGCCTATGCAGAATGTCTGTGCCCTTTGATACTCTACGATGTTATTAATGTGTACTTACCGATCAGAAGTAGAGTAAACAGTTTTGATAGTATTTCCAGTTATATTCTCTTCATAGGCACCGTACGATGATTTGCTGTGAAGCAGTGAGTGCATACCAATCACTAAACAGTACTCTTTATTTTTAAAGGTTTCACTACACTGATGATAATATGTGAATTAAACCAATGTAACATGCTTGTAAAAAATAATATTTGGTGATGAGTTCTTTTTCTGTATTTTCACAACCATCGAGAAAAATATATAAAATAAAAAAGCATAAATTAAAAATATAGGGTCTTTAGACTGTGTCCTGTTGTTGAATGATTCTTCAACATTTCAAAATTAAATCCACAAGCACGTTGAGCAAAACCTACAAGATGGTATTGAGTTTACCTGCGCTGATATCCCAGCCCAAATGATACGTATCAGGACCGCATTTTTCCCCCTTTTCCCCCCTTCTTTCATTAGTCCTCAAAGAGCTGTCAAACAGCCAAACAAAATTACAACTTGTGCCTGGAATTATAGTGAGGATCTTTATAAGACAGGCTGTTCAGTGCGTGATTTGTGTTCACTACACCAACTGTATTGTTCCTTGAATCAGAGTAGGAAGGAATATACTGAATTTAACTATTAGGGAAGTTAAATCTTCTTTTTTTATCAGTCCCAGTTTTGGTTGATTACCTGTCAGTTTTGTTTGCATGGAAGGGATAAGCATGTATGTGGCAGCTGAAGAAGTCATGTTGCCATACGTGTTTTGAACATTTCTGAACTGATTTATTTATCCTATTCCTCCAGAAATTCATAAGCTATATGGTAATTATTACATGTTTCATGTCACTATCAAATTATATTTAGCAATGCTAAATTGCTATATTTAGCAATTTTTTTATAATCATGTGTATTTGCAGAACATGTCTTATTTTCAGGGAAAGTGTAACAGACTCGTAACAGACATGTGCAAGGTGTTACACGGTCCAGATACATTTCTCTACATACTTGTATTTTGTAATGTGTACATGTTTCATTTGATCTCTGTGCAACATCAGAAATGTATTAAAATTGCACAATTACTGGGAAGCTTAAATGATAAATGTTTTGTTTATGTTTCATAGAACATAACAATATGCTCGTTATTTAATAGTAATGTGGCAAACCTGGGTTTGCTCACCACGGAGAAATTATCTCTTCAAATGAACACTCAGTGCTCCATTTACATTTCAGGCAAGATGAAAGTAAGCTTACTAAGTAGGAAAGAAAACTGAAGCTGAGTGAGAAACTTTTGAAAGACTTTTTCTGGCTATTTTGCCCCAACCAAGATAGACGTATGGACAACACATGTCACAGGGTGGAGTATATTGATGGTGCTAGTGCCTAAGGCTTCTTACTGTAGTGAAGAGTGGCATAGGAATATCACTTCTCTATTCCTATAAAGTATGGGCTTGTTCGTGCTTGTTTTTCTTATCATATTTCTTGAAAAAACATTTTGACTGTGAAGAAAAACACGTTGCTTCCTTTATTTCAATGATTTCCTGTTACCAACAGACCTGGAGCTTACTTTATTCTATTAAATACCCCTATATCATATTTTTCACTCAGATTTGCAATATATGTGCTTGTAAAGACAGAATCCTGCTAGAGCAAGAGTATTACAAGAGCATTGGTTTTAAAAATATTTTATACCTGTTCAAAAAGTTATAGTTTCAGTGACTGGGATGAGATGGTACATGGGTTCAGATTCATCCCATATAGTTTTAGGAACTTAACAAGTCACTTGAGTGAAGAGCATAATGTTTTCCTTATAGCCTCATAAAGAAATAAGCTCCCTGAGAGCATGGTGTGTCTAATATGCAGGAAATGCCTTTACTCTATTGATTATATAAGAATTTTGGCTTAACTACTCTCCTAAATTTTATGCCTCAGCTACATCTCTAGAACTACGCAGGGTACGTCTTGTGCTCTGTGCGCTGGAGCTATGCTTTGCGGATTTCTGTTCAGGGGATCCTGGAAGCAGAGTTCGCAAGGGGGCTGGCATGATTTCCAGAGACCAGTGTGAGGTTTCTAAATATCCCTGGAATTTCTTACATAAAGATGGTTTGGTTGTTTTTTTTTTTTTTTTTTCCCCTCAAGAAATGGCACTTCAGACATTATCATCCTCAATTCATTGTCCACGGTACCTGGTCTTTCTTTCACTGTCACTGGAGTAGTTTGTTTCTGGGAGATTATTTTGAGCCCTTGGAGGATTTTCATATGTTTGCTTAGTTATCCTAAAAAAAATCAACAACAAAACACAACAAGAAAACAATCACTTTTCAGAAATCATTTTTAGCTACACAGCTTTCAGTTACACTTACAGACATAAACGTAGAAGCTTGGGCTAGTAACAGCACATAAAAGAAGTTAATCTTTTTCTTACTGTTATTAAACGGAATCCCTGCCCTCTGGTTTATGCTGGTAAATATATTAATATCAAAAACTTCATCTAGCTTTAATTGAACTCTGTTTCCTCAAAGTGCCCACTGAGGTTTTCAACTGTGCAGTAATGTCTCAGTGGTTGCTAGCATTCTGCGTTTTCTTGGCAGAATTCTATATTGTTTTATTCTTGTTTTCATGATACTTTAGTTCTCAATTTTCTTTTTTTTTGACATACTAAAGTTTTGGTTTTATTTGAAATGATCACTTAAATAGATATATAGACTCTTATTTCAAAAAGCAGGATTACCATTCAAGCAAAAGAAACCTTATCTCCTGCAGTTTTTCCTGCCACAAACATGACGTGCAACCAAACACAAAAACAAACCTTGTCAGACAAATTATAGGATTTAAGGAATAAGTGCTAATAATGTTTTTGATGATTTTACAAAGCAGCTCAGACAAAGGCTGCTCTTGTTTGGTTCTGCCAAAGGTTGCATTCTGAAACAACGTGATGATTATAAGCCTTAAATCTGGATGTTTGGTCTGCAGCTTGATTTATTTCAGGGAGCTTGCCAAGATCCGAAGCTTTGCTAAGCGAACCTTGCTCAGAGCTGGTCACTGTTTTATATGCACGGCATGCTGCATGAAGCAGCACCCTCTATTGTGCTAGACTCCTAATCTGGCAGGCCCCCTTTCAGAAGGAAAAGAGAAACCCATTCACCATATACATTCACTGTATGCTTCTCTGATCAGAGTGCTGAGTGAGACTGCTAGGATAAAAATATTTTATATTAAAAAATAGCAGAAGTACTTGTGTATACAGATAGCTGAGTTCTTCCCCTTCACTTAGATAGACAACTAAATGGAAGACTCAGGATGGTATCTAAAAACATAATAATAACTTCATTTTAATTGACCAAAATGGGTCTTGGTTTTTCCAGATAATGAAACCTAGTAGCAGTGAATCTTTTAAACTATGAATGCATTTACTTATATTTCTTTGAGATGCTAACGGCTGAGTTCACAAAATGCCTAGATAAGCACAAAAATACTTATGAGGATCTTGTCACCGGGCATTTTCACTCATGACAACAGATTATAGGTTTGAGTCATTACTTATTTTCAAAATGCATGCAGCTGTATTGTTATATTTGGTTGATCGGGCACGTTTTAGAGTAATACAGATATCTTACTTAAGTTACGCAAATTCTGTTTGCTTTTATTAGGAATTAACGTTTTCTGGTATCACACTAAACAACTACAAGTCTTGATATTAGCTCTTAAATTTTATAGAGAACTATGAATTGAGTCTCACCGCTTTTTACTTTGGTCATCAGCAGACTTTACTTCAGTGTGATCACCAAGGTCCTCATCTCTGTGAAAGAGAGAAAGACCTTAGAATTAATCAAATTATTTGATTCAGCCTAAACATATTAAATGAGTTTAATTATTTATGTTGAAGATTAAATATTTATACACATTTCACAAGGATTCTTGACTATACTGAGTATGTATCACAGTTGTTTCATATCATAAGTATTTAGTTAATTATAAAGTAAGAATTAACAATTCAAACCTCAATGTTTTTCAGTTTCTTTCCAGTGTGACACTACAAAAGAATGACAAACTACTCAAAAATGCTAAGTCCATTATAGTATTTTAGGATAATTCAAGTTGGAATTCAGGGACATCAGGAGGTCTCTAGTCTACCTTCTGCTCAAAGCAGGGCCAGATCTGAGGTCAGACCGGGTTGCTCAGGACTTTTTCTAGTTGGATCTCAAAAACTTCCAAGGACAGAGATGGCACAACCTCTCCAGGCAACCTGCTCCACTGCTGGACTGTCCTCCTTACATTCAGTCTGAATCTCTCTTATTTCAATTTGTGACCCCGTGTCTCATTTTGTTGCCATGTTACAGGTGAAGAGCCTGCCTACATCTTCTAAACTGGCTATGGCTCTGTCATTTTAATTTGATAACATCATTTCATTCAATGCAGACATCGATACCATGAGCAATGGCTGTCAAAGTATGTTATTTGCTTTGTTGGTATATCCTCTTACAACTACTGTTATCTAGGACTGTATATGATCTCTAGGACCATATGATCACATCTATACTAGTAGCTAGTAACTGACTGTGAAAAAGCTGATTTTGTATTAATATTTTGTATTAATATTTTGTATTAAATGGTCCATAATTAAAAATAATAATAATGTTATCCATTTAAGAATTATTTAAGATTGAAAAAAGGCCACACTTGTTCTTATGAGAAAATGGAGAATGATACTAAAAAAAAGAGGATTTAAAAAAATTTTTATTTATGGCACTCCTCTTTTTTATTTAAAGGACAGTTTTTAGTTTGGTGGAGCATTTCACATTAATTTAAAGAACATTGATGGTCATTTATGGACTATATAGAGTTCCAATAAGATAAAGTCAAGAATTACCTGCGATTCTTCCACACTGGATTATTTATATTTACTAGCCTGTATTTAATGAGGAATTTTTAAAAGTTTAAATTCTATGATTTAAATGAAATAAAAATACTAATTTTGACACCTCTAATAATCTTTACAGAACAGAACTTATCAATACTAGTATCTAGCCAACCACAAGCATTTCATAAGTATATAAGGGAAAGATCATCACAGCCTTGCCTCTGATTTTTCTGACTAGCAGTATTTATTTCAGCAAAATCTTCAAGGTCTTTTCCTCTGAAACAAAAAAGAAATACAACTGTTAAAATGCTCTCCCTATGAGGGAGAAAAGTGTATTGTTGATTAAATTTATGTTCAGAATTTTCAAACTCTTATATCATTGACCATAATAAGAAAATATGTTTAAAATTTTCCATTAGCAAGGTAAAATCCTCTACAATTACACAAAAAAGATTGTCTAGTACAGCCAAGAAAATAAAAAGGCTTTGTTTAATCATATTAATGCCATAGTTTAAGATTCTTCTTTGCCAGTGAAGACAGTGAAGGAGAAACATGAACTTTTCAAAGTATTTAGTATTAATTTACAGGCTCCAGCACTTAATCCTTGTTTACATTATTAATTTCCAACTAGTTTTTATTTAAACTAAGAAACTTCTACTTTTTAAGATGACACCTAAAAATATGTCAAATTGTCTACATACTTCTGCTTCTAGAATGACAAGAAATTACCTCTCTGTGTCATCATAGTTAACAATTAAAGCATTGACTATGTCTGTACTTATGTAGACATCCGAAGACTCACAAAGTTAACATATAAGAAATATAATTTTTTTTAATTTCATAAATACAGTTAAACTAGTGACTATTTTTTCTTCTGGATTTTTTATTTTTAATTACTTTAATATGGTTCAGTGAATTAGAGAATGGCATGAAAACCACTCTAACTAAGGCAAAAAACCCTGTTTGTCTTTAGGTAGAAATAGAGAGCAAAAGCAAAAGAGTTAGCTCTGTGAAACTGAAAACTTGGCCATTTCAATCCGTAATAGGCTTATTAATCTTAGAACTCTGGATGCCTCCTGAAATTTAGTAGTGTGTCAAAGTCACATCCTAATAAATTCTCTGTAAATTAAAATTTGCAAAGAAATCATACTCAACTTACAGTTTAGTGCTAAGTGCGTATATATATATGTGTGTATGTATTAATATATGTGAGATTATCAGCTGTAAAACATGATGATATGTTGGCAGCATTTATGTGCTGCTCCTGTTTAGAACATCATTCTTGAAGTCATCTGTAGAATTTCGGTGTTAGGTGTGACAGATATTACATAGCTCTTACTAGCACAGTACCTTGGCAGTTCCTCCCTTTCTGTGTGCTGAAGGGCTAGTTACAGAACACAAGAAACTTGGCCTCAAACACACCAACTGTGTGTTTCTGCTGTTCAATAATGTAAGTTCAACTGTTCTTTATGGATCACTATCCTTGCTGACTGAAATGCTTTGTTACACCTTTTTGGGGCAACACTTCTCATCCATGAGTTCTACAATATTTTGTTTAATGCCCCTTCTCTAACTATATTAGAATATTTCTTTAATAGTTTTATTGAGGAAGCATATAAGGCATGTATGGAAGCTTGCCGTAGAAGTTCATCTGATAGTGCACGTGCCAGTTAATTAATCTGTATTTTTTTATTTTTATCATTCTGTATAGGAATGCCACTTTTTAATCTATACACATTTTACAGATTTGCAACATTACCTTTCCTGACATTCTCATAGTTACAAACTACTCACTGCCTTAGAAAAGCAGGGCCTGAGAAGCTTTGAAGACTTACTCCTTGTCACTTGTGAAAGAACTTGGATTGACTTTGATGAGGTTATCGAGATCTTGGTTCCTTCAGAGACAGAACAAAAACCAGATCAAATGACAATTAGTATAACCAGCTGTCAATTAGCCAAATTAAATACTCACTTAAAAAGAAATTATAATTGACGTATTCTTTATGAAAGACAAAATTAAACTGATTAAAAGTTCAAAGCATACATCATTTTAGTAATTCAAAGATATTCAAAGATACAGCCATATGGACCCCGTATGCACATAATCACACACTCTTCCTGGAATAAGAGGACCAAATTACGTTTTGGAAACAGCAAGATCTAACCTTCTGTTAAAAAGGATAATTCCTTCTGAGCATGCATCATGGACAACTTCAAAGAGTGCCTGACTTCTAACATATAGTAAGAATCTTTACCACCTAATACAATCAGCCAAGTATTCCTGATATGTGCATGAACAACTTCTGACCTAAAAAGTAATTATAGACTAAGTCTTTCTGGCAAATCAGTCAAAAAGTCCAGTAGTCTATTTGGTAGGCTGTCTGGACCAGCTCCTTCCCAATTAAACTCTACTTTCTCACAAGAAATTTCATGTTTAAATTGAGGGACACTGAGAACTAGTAACATCCACTGGATCTTGAACTTCCATGAAAGAGATAGGATGTGATATACTATTATTATTTGATGTAAGGAAAAAAAAATCTTCCTAGAATTAGATCTTGTCAGTTATTTAATTTTCTTTTTTCAATATAATAACATCAAACATTTTATATATATTAATGTAACATAACTATTACAATAAAAATGTAAATCAGTATCTTTTATACTCTTTGAGTGGAACATTTATTAGTGTCAAGTCAAAACATGGGTGTTGCTTTGACTGCCTTTATTTTCCTTCAAAGGATGGCACTGGTGTCAACGTTTCTATAAAACACTTCATTTCCATGAAAATGCAATTTCCACCTGCAAAATCCTCTATTGAAAAATCTGCAGCAACTTTACTTAAAAAGTTACCGTCTACTAACTTTAACTCACTACAAAAAAATGAAAAATTGACTCTTAAAAAGAAAGTCATGGGAAAAAAATGATGCCCCACAATAAGTATGACAGTGCTCCCCTGTAGGACCTGTGCTAAAACCTGGTAGTCAACAATGTTCCATATGTCTCATTACTGACATTCATTCTGAACAGTTCTGTCATGAAACAACATCTCAGTGAAAGATAAAGACAACCTTTTCAGATTTCTTCTTGGTCATATTTGTCAGCTCTTGGTCTTCCTTTGTTGAGATTATCAAGATCTCAGTTTGTTTAAGAATGAAACAAAACCAGTTCAATTCAAGGAGAGTCTGCTGCTGGTTAACTGGAGTTCCATACCAGTCATTAATAAATGAGAAATCTACATGTTATATGCTTTTGCAAATTATATTTATACTATAACAGATTTCACACTTTTCACAGTTTTCCTCCAGAAACTGGAGTCTTGCAGTTATCCAAAAATACCCTTTCCTTTGTGAACTGATCGCAAATTGCTTCCTCAGTACTTGGAGGTAGAAACTTAGAATGATAATAAGGCTAATAAGACCTCAGGTAGTTACTTTTTTAACTTATGTTTTCACAATTTTTATTAAGAAAAAACCTCCAGCTGTGCATGTGTCTGGCTTGAGTAAAATATACATAATTATTTGTCTCCTGCATCCTCCATTCCTTTACATTCTTAGGGGTATTTAAAATATGCATCTCAAGTCTTCTATAAAGCCTACTGAAGCTTTGCAATTGCAACTACCTCAGCTGTGATCTTTATATGCTATGCAACCTTCACATATACATCAGCCTCTGTGTTGCACGTTCACCCAAAACTCAGAGGCAGGAGATTCGAGACTCTTGCTCATTCTGGCTGCAATCATGGGATTATATGCAGTTTACTCAGCAGGGTTATCAGTAGCCTTTCTGCTTGCTTCTGCTGACTTTCACAGCGTGGAGCAACATGAAGGCTGTGACAGTAGCGAAGCTGTGCCCTGCGGGCCGGTACGCTCCTACGTTTGATTTTCAAAGGAATATAAGCATTCGAAGGACCAGATGCCAATATGCTTTTTATGAGACTTAGCTCAGTAAAACAGATATGTTTCAAATTTTTACTCACAGTATAGATATAAAATACCATATTCACTTTTTCATAATTTTCAATTTCCTATTTTTTAATGTTCTTTCAAAATCAGAGAAATTAACTGAAGACAGCTTCCTGTAAAAATAATCAAATACTATGCAGCTTAAATATGCTCCCACAACAAGGCCCAAATACTAGATCTTTTTGTTTCAATCTTTGTAAGAATTGTTAAAGTATCATAATGTTTTTTATCAAATACTACATAATTAAATGAATAATACTATAGAAATTGATTGTGGAATACCGGGGAGTTATATCACTTATATACCTGTTCTTGTTGTAGGTAATATTTTTCTGTCGACAGGGAAGGAAGAAACTCCCTCAAGATCAG